GAACATCGTAGTTTCTGAAATATTCCCTTTGTTCTTGAGAAATGCTGTCTCTGATTGTCTGACTTTATGCTTTGTTCGTCCCACTCTTATAATCTCTCCCATTTCGTAAGGATCTCATCCTTACATCCTTGGAGGTAAATTTTATGGGCAGGTTGGCTTTGTTTTTTGGTTACTTTGTTCAGGATGGACTTTTCAAAGTTTCTTAACATTAGCTGAGTCTGAAATAAGAGTTAAAACATTTTAAAAGCTCTTCGTGTAGTAAATGGAATGTTTTGTGCATTCCAGTTGCCTTGGGTTAATTTTAAATGTGTAAAGTTATAACCAAAGTTGAAATCTTTTTTTTCTTAAGAAGCAAAACTACATGAAAGCATCGAAACTATGCAACCTCATTTACTTGTATAATAATAGCAAGAATTTACATAGTGCTTACTTTGTGTCAGATTAAAATCCTTCTTTGTGTCAGATTGTGTTCTAATCACTTAAAACGTTAAACCATTTAATCCATACAACAATTCTATGAGAGAGATGTATTATCATTCCTATTTTATAGATCAGGTGATGGAGGTACAGAGAGGTTAGGTAACTTGCCCAAAGTCACCCAAGCTAATAGATGGTGGAATAGAGCTTTGAATCCAAGCATTCCAGGACCCTTGCTCTCAATTACTGCAATACATTGCTCTTCACTAATTTAAAATTGGCAGCTACTGGATGGGAGTTGAGTTTTAGTTACTTTTTTACCATCTCTGAAATATGGGCTTACCAAATATTAAAAATTCATACTATCAGCAAAACTGTAAGATTAGCTTTTTGCTTACAAAACAGCATTCCTTTAAGACAAAGAGCTGATTTTTTAATTGCAAATTATTTCTATATGGTCATTGACGAAATACCTGAAGGACATTTTCTTGGGGGGTGGGGGGGCAATACTTTTTCACTTAATTTGCTACTAAATGGTTACATATGGAAGTAATGAAATCATATATCTTGAAACTCTTGAAAAGATTAGTTTTATTTTTTTTTAATGAAACCGTTGTGCTTTTTCTTTGGGCTGAAGCACAGTAGAGCATTAACCACTTTAATATACGTAGCTGATGTTTATTTGAAGGTACTTTTTAAGACTTATTTTCTTTCCACAATAAATCTTATTCTGCTGGTTTGAAGCCCGTTATTTGCAGTGACTAGTGTTGAAGTTAATAAAGGAGTGGAAGTCTAGTAAGTCTGTGTCATCTTTTGGTTGCTGGTCTGTGTTCACTTTTAGATCCTATTAGTTTTCGGTACCTTTTGGCAAGTGGAAGCTATGGATGCTCCAGAGAGTTATACTGCACAAGATTTGGGGGCCAGTTTTATAAATAGTTGCAATGAGTGACTCAGAAAATCTGCATGGCAGGCTTGGGATGACAGATCTAGAGAGGAGGAAGATTTTCCCTTCTCACTACTATCTTAAGATTTTGTACAGTTGTGTCCTCCCCCAACAAGACTTACTGTCATTACCTAAGTAACAGGATGAGGACAGGGTCTAGGCAAGTTATCCAAAGTGTAAGGTAAATTCTTCTGGGCATTGTTGATCTTGGAGATGGTGTCCCAGCCTAACGCTAGATGATACTGAGTCACATAGTAAGGCAGGTATTTCCTTTTCCGTTTTCTTTTGACCTTCTGATTCAAGGAGGAAGTCAGTTGGCACCATTGCCTCTTTAACACCTCTCAGATCCTTCAGACTCTCCCTTTATGGCAGAGAACAGGCCCTGTAGACTCTCAGCTTTGAGAGGCAACTGTGTTTAGTCAGAATGTAGTTTCATTGTTTTGTGTTCCCTTGTTTTAGTATGTATAATTCCCTTCCGCTTTTGACAGGAAATACTGGCTTTCTGTTTACAGTGAGAATAAGGTATTTCTATGAAAATTAACTTTTTTTCAAAGGAAAGTGGTGAGTCAATCTAAGAACAGCTACTAGAGAATATAATATAGAGGTGATCTATAGATATGGCAAAACTGAATTTGATAGAGGAATAACAAAATCTTGGGAAATACTGGTCTAATATCTGCTATGGTTCATTTTATAGAGATCTCCAGTCTCTTCTTTGAAACTCTTGGGACCATATTTGTTTTGGAATTCAGAATTTTCAGATCTTACTGGCATAGTGCTTATATATGATATGACTTGCATAGTATACACTAGGGCAGTGCCATCATCTAGCATGGTAGTATTTCTGCAGCAAAATGTATGAATGTTCATACCAAGTGGGATAAAGAGGGATTCTACAGGGCCCCCTGCGAGTTCAGGTCAGGCCAACAAATATATTTTTGAACCAAACTTAAGGAAAACGTTTTGATTTTCAGAGATTTCTAGATTTCAGAATCACAGATAAGAGATTATAGATCTGTCTTTGTAAAAAAAATCCATCATTTTCTAAAACACTGATCAAATTAATCATGCAGGAAGCGAATTAGACCCCAACTTGGTCCAAGTAACTCTACCATCTTTAAGTTTATTTAACTGCTTGTGTATGATCTCCTTATAGATTCTGATCTGCTATATTGTGCTAGGTAGATTTGTTTGTGGAAGAAAAAGTTGAATCCGCGTGACTTTTACCTGTGTATGTGAAAAAGGAAGGAGTTCGTGGTCCTTTTCATTCTGGAGATATGAGGGTCAGTTCTGAACACAGAACTTGCTCTCTTGGTAATTAAGAACTTGGATATTGGGTAACTGGCCAATACATTCACTGGTGCCAGAAAATTTGGAGTAATATTTCATTTAATTCTATGTTCTTTTTTTTTTTTCTTGCCGTACGCGGGCCTCTCACTGTTGTGGCCTCTCCCGTTGCGGAGCCCAGGCTCCGGACGCGCAGGCTCAGCGGCCATGGCTCACGGGCCCAGCCGCTCCGCGGCATGTGGGATCTTCCCAGATTTTCCCAGACCGGGGCATGAACCCGTGTCCCCTAGCGTCGGCAGGCGGACTCTCAACCACTGCGCCACCAGGGAAGCCCTAGTTCTATGTTCTTAAAATCCATCAAACGTTTGCAATTGTTTTTTGCAAATAAATATTATTAGTTCTTAAGATAGTCTAGTTATCAATGAAGTCTTAATTTAGCCATGATCAAAATGGTTAAAAAGGGGCACAACCAACCTCCCAAGCCAGCTGTTTTATAGTCTGTGAACCTAAGAGGTTGTAGCGCAGTTAAGCTGGATTAATTACAGTTCAGAGGGCCATGTTGAGTTATTTATGATTGTTTTTCAAACATTCTGGAAAATGATAAATGAGCAAGTATTTTCTTCAGAACACATTGGATTTGTCAGATTCTTGATTTATACCTTTTAGAACATGCTTTTATTTTTTGTAATTAGAATGAAGATATATAGTAATTGATCATAAAAATTATACTTATGAAGCATTTATGGGCTATGTATGTTATATTGCTAACTATTTAAATAAATTGATAAAACGAGACACTATAAACAATGTTTTCCTTTTACATTGTATATTTCCTCAAGAAGCTTAATTAAATCTCACTTGACTGTTCTGTGGGGAAGAGGTATACTTAGATGTAGAATCTGAGGCCTGGGCCGTTTGGCTCATACATATTTGTATGTAAAGTTTATAATGTCATCTAGGACTTTCCAGGAAAGAATAGAGTTTTTTACTCCTGTTACATTAGCGCAACAGTTATTAATGTTTTTCCATTTCTTGACTCATTCCCACAGGCTTACCTGGATTTTAAGCCATGACATAAATAAGACAGATGGTAGGATTAGTGCCATTTCTGATGGAATAGACGTAACACTATCCCTTTTGTACCTACCCCAGAAAACGTACTGGAATGTCAGTGAGGGTGACGTTTGCTATGGATATAACTTTCAATCTACCCTAGTAAAGTCATTTACAGTTATTAAGAATCTCTTATTAGTATAATGTACTATGATTAGTATTAATAACCTTGTACCTCACACTGAAAATGGTAAAATCACCATTAATAATAACAAAACATAAAATATAATAGTGACAATATTTATTGAGCAGTTGCTGAGTGCTAGGCATGTGTTAAGTGCTTTGCATATCTGAACTCATTTAGTCCTTATAACTGCACTGTGAAGAAAGCATAATAATTATCTTCTTTTACGGATGAGAAAACTCTGTAAAGTTATTTGGAGATCAAGTAAGTTAGCCAGAGTCACAAGAAATGAGGCATTCTGGCTCGACTGTGTGTTTTTTTTTAATTTATTTTTTATTTTTTTATTTTGCGGTACGCGGGCCTCTTACTGTTGTGGCCTCTCCCGTTGCGGAGCATAGGCTCCGGACGCGCAGGCTCAGCGGCCATGGCTCACGGGCCCAGCCGCTCTGCGGCATGCGGGATCCTCCCGGACCAGGGCACGAACCCGTGTCCCCTGCATCGGCAGGCAGACTCCCAACCACTGCGCCACCAGGGAAGCCCTTGACTGTGTTTTATTACCTTCAACTTTATGTTCCCCACAAATACAGTAACATCTCAACTCTCTGGGACTCAACTTTGAGCAACTTCATCTGTTTGGAACAAACCTGAGAACGTGGGAAGCAAAGCAAAAACATTTCTGTAGTTGAAATAGGAGCAAAACTCTTTCTGAATGAGATTATGCATATTCAGCAGGCAATGAACTGCTAGACTGTGTCCTCTCTTGGGTCCTTGAGTAAAGGGTCTGGAGTCTGAACACTTGAATGGAATCCGAGACTCACAGTATGATCATTAATGCTTCCACATTATTAAGTGAAACGAGTTTTAGTTTAGTGTTAGGAATTGAAGGTTAAAAACCTAATTGATTTTTATGCGCCTCTCTCATGATTGGAAAAATACTGCTTGAAATGGGCACATATTTGTTTATCTAGAACTATTCATTTGCAGTGTTGATCTTAATATGTGAAGACAGCAAAATGCCATCTTGATTTTTTTCTTGTGGTTTGATTAAGAAGGTAAAGCTTAACTGTAAAATAAATTCCTTCTACTTTATTTGTCCTGTTTTCATTTTTCCTCTAGATCGTTCCTTTGATGTCCTCAAAAAATCCAAGCATCCCCCAACGTTCCTTGCTGCTGGCCGGCTTTCTGACATGCTGAATGGCGGTGATGAAGTCTATGCTAACTGCATGGTGATAGATCAGGTAAGCTGTGAGTGATGTTACTAGGGGGATCTGCCCTCTTTTCAAAACGTGAGCATGTGAGAAATACATTCCGCATCGCTGTGCTCCTCTGAAGATTTCCGCCTAAGCGCAGCCCAGGTGATGTTGCTGTGAAGTCTCGCCATATGAGCATTTAATGTAGGTCCTTCCTTCAGAACACAGCACACCGTAGCTCCCACCGAGAAGCACTGTGGGGGGGAGTCTTAGGACACCGTTCAAGGAGAAGAGTGTGAGGGCTCATCCATGAGGCCAAAACTGGAAATGACATTTGGGAGACCAATTTCTTCTCTGACCTGATTAAGCAGTATTCATATTCAAATGCAGCAAACACTGAGAGCCAGAGCTTGATGCCAGCCCCATGTGAAGCTGTCACATAAATTACTTGCTTAATCCTCACAACACACCTGTTAACGTGTACTTAGGTTGTAGAGCTTTGATATTAAAACAGAATGGTGTCACGTTGTAGGGAAGCTGGAACCCTTTAGAGTTCTCCACCCATCCCCTGATAGAGATTTGTGAGTTAAAACTCATACAGGCAGATGGTTTGAATGTGCATCTACCTATGGATTTATTCTTTGATCTTTTCTCTAGCTCAGTGATCCTCAAATTTTAATATTTATAAAAATTAAAGTATAGTTATAGATCTGAAAATTTCTGCATGCCCTAATTTATGAGAGACTTAAGGGATTTTCAAGAGTAATTCTGACAGCACACAATTTCTGCTTTACCCCCTGGTTTTAAAACCTAATCCCTACATAAGAAACATTATACAGATGTTCATTGAGCAATAATCTATTTTACCCTTTGTTGTTGTTATTGTTAGTATGCATATATTGAACTCTATTACTTACTGATGTTTTCTCTGATATAAACTTTTTTCCTGTCTAGTAGGTCTCAATTTCAGCCCATTGGTTGAATGTCTTTGCTTTTTCCTTTGGGTTATGAAACATTGTTACATTAAATGCCTAGTATAAATGGCATAGATTGGAATGATATTCAAAATGACAGAAGAATCAATAAATCAGAATGGACATCAGCTGTAAATAACTGGTATAGTTTTTTTTGGTATAAAGCAGCTGAATGTCAGCCCTAGTTATAGAAATCTAGGTGAGACACAGAGTTTAGGACAAAGTGGGAGTTCTGGGGACAGTCTTTGAAGATATAAGGTAATTGGACTTACTGTGCTCTAGCCACATTCTGATTTTAATGGTTTTATTCTGTTGCCATATTTTCTCAGCGTTTAAATGAAATACATTTGAGTCCACACACACACACACACACACACACACACACACACACACACACACATATATTTTTTTTTTATTCTGAACCTCAGTGAATACTACAACACTTCCATTTACTTCAAGTAGCTAAAATTATACTTGACTGGACATTATGTGGAGGCAAACTGTGTCTTTATATGTTCTAAAATACATTAAAAATGCAAAACTTCCCAAACCAAAGATGAAGTTAGGATACAATTTCTGTTTGGAAATACTTTGAGTGAGAGAAATATTGCTTTAATAATGTGAATCATACATTTAAAGAGAATACGAACAGCCTGATTGATAAACTGAAATGAGCAAGAGGATTGCTGAATTTGTGCCATGAAAACAAAACTCAAAATCTGGATACAAATCACAAAGTTCACTGTATCGGTGTAGTATAGTTACATCATTTCTTTTACTGTTCCTGTGTCCAATTGAATAGTAAGGACAAAATGACGAGTCCAAAATCTGCACATCAAAAATAATTTCTAGCAATATCTGGAAAGAATTTTATCTAATTTTCTTCATCTCCTTCAACCTGGCACAGAAACCTGAAAAGATTGCTAGCTTGTTTATGATGTTTCCCATAAATTTTCAAGGTTATCAGCCTACCTAATTAGGAAACTCACATGACAAAAACTACTTTGAAAATTACTCTGTCAGGTAAACTACTTTGAAAAAAGATTAATTTGGACATCATTTCAAGCCTGCATAATTCAGTACAAAGAATCCCTGTATACTCTTTATCAAAAAAATCTCCAAGTTTTACCATATTTTACTTTATTATTCTAAGTATGTGTTGTGTATATGTACATGCAAATGCTTATGATATGTATATAAATAGTAAACATTTGGGAGTAAATTGAAAATATGGTGCCCCATTACCCCTCAGTCTTTCATGGTGTATTTTCCTAGAAGCATGGATATTCTCTTACTTAAGCAAGTATAGTTACCAAAATCAGGAAATCATCATTGGCACAGTACTGTTAGCTGTCTACAGACCTTATTCAATTTTAGTCAATTGTCCCAATAATGTTCCTTGTAGCAAAAGAAAATTCAATAACATGTCTTGCATTTAGTTGTTGTGTCTCTTTAGTCTCCTTTAAGCTGGGACAGTTCCTTAGTCTTTGTCTTTTGTGACATTGATAATTTTGAAGAATACAGACCAGGTTGTTGTTTGTTTGCTTGTTTTGTTTTTTGCTGTACTGTCCTTTAATTTTGGTTTGACTTATATTTCCTTATGATTAGATTCAGGTTATGTGTGATTGGCAGGAATATTACAGAGGTGATGTCATGTTCCTCTCAGTGCATTGTATCAGGAGGCACATGACAATAATTTGTCCCATTACTGGTGATATCTTTGATCTACCAAGTTTCTTTTCAGTAAAATTACTATGTTTTAAAAAAATTATTACGTATCTTGTGAGGAGATAGTTTGAGTCTTTGTACATATCCAGTTACTGATTTGACTGTCACTCACTAGCATTCCTTGATTGTTTTTGCCTTAGTCATCATTATTATGATGGTGGTTGATTTACGGCCCCACATTTCCCCCTTTGCTTCTTTTCCCCTTCACTGTCTTATTTCTTTTTTTTTCTTTTTGCGGTACGCGGGCCTCCCACTGTTGTGGCCTCTCCCGTTGCGGAGCAACAGGCTCCGGACGCGCAGGCTCAGCGGCCATGGCTCACGGGCACAGCCGCTCCGCCGCATGTGGGATCTTCCCGGACCGGGGCACGAACCCGTGTCCCCTGCATCGGCAGGCGGACTCTCAACCACTGCGCCACCAGGGAAGCCCACTGTCTTATTTCTAAATGGCGTTACTCTCTTCGTTTTCACTGTCTTCTCCCCCAGAAGTGATGCCTTTTGATGACCACCACCTCAGATCACCAGTACTTTTAAGCCCCTTCCTTAGAGCAAGCGCTTTGATCAACCGGGACTTTTTTATTTCACACTGTCCAGAGGAAGCTGTACTTTCTCTTCCTGGTGATGATTTTAGATCAGTCTTAGGCCCTCCACTAAGCTCCCTGTTCTCCCTACCATGCAGATTTTTCCAGACTGCCCTTACTCTATGCAAAGGCTTATGGCAAGTATATGACAGGTTTCTTGCTGAGATTTGATGTTTATTATTTACAGGTAATTTAAAGTTTGGGGCATTGTCTGTCTTCTAGTTATGCTAAATCCATATGTCGTATGTAGCTTTATTTGGTTTTCTTTTTGTTTGGGAGACTCAGATTTATGTGACCACCACTAACTTAGTTACCCAGATTCCTATAAACTATTTTATAAGCTAAAATGCCCACTTTTTAGTTTTTCTCTCAGGTATTTAAAGCATTTCCCCTCTTTTGAGTCAGTGGTTCATAAAATGCTAAAAGCATAGTCAGTTTCTGGTTTTGTAATAAAGTTTATAAAATGCTCAGTCTTCTTCCTTTTGTGAATTATGGGATAGCAACCATGTGAACAAAAATATATCATGTAAGAATTCTCTGCTTACATAAAGCAAAACAAGAACAAACAAAAAAGGGTAAATAAGTTGGAAGGTTTTTAAATTATGAAAACTTTATTCTTTTCTCAGCAAATATTTTTCTTTCAACTACCAGGTTGGTGATTTGGATATTAACTATATTAATATAGAGGGAATCACTGAAAACACTTGCCTTGAATCCATGGGTTCTACTCTGGGGCCTCAGAGCAGCAAGCCCATCCTTCCTACTGAAACCAGCGCTGGCACGTACCCACCAGATGAGAACACAGAAGTCACATCACACACCGAAGCCCAACCGTCTTTGATGTCGCCATCTAGTTCATATGCTTCCAGTTTGAATCTTTCTTTTGGTCTTCATGGATTTGAAAAGGAACAAAGTCATCTAAAGAAAAGAAGGTAAGGTACTACATTCTAGAGGGAAAGTGTAGAAAATCAAAGAACCTTGTAGCAGGACTTATAAAATTCTACTTGCTTATTGTTATTGTCCCCACCATTTTTATTTCTACATCAAAATTTTCCCCCTTTTAGGTTCTTATATTCCTCGACTTGAAAGTAAGATACATAAGAAAAGTGACAAAAATATAATAGAGGAAAACCACGAGGTACCATTTAATACTTACTAGATAAGCAGAAATTTTAAAGTGTAACACCATATTCTGGTGAAAATGCATACGATAGAAACTCCTGTGTACAGTTCATAGGAGTGAAAATTGTGTAATAACTTTGGAAAACACTTTGGCATTTCCTTATAAAGTTGGATACGCATATATGTTATGACCCAGCAGTTTTACTTCTGTGTCCTAAGAGACATATATGAGACTATTTATTGCAGTAGGAAATAGCCCAAATGGTGGGGAATGAATAGATAAATTACACTATAGTTACACAATGTAATACCGTACAATAGTGAATATGAATTAACTACGACTACATCTACATGCATAATCATATGCAACTTAGAAACATGAAGTGGAACAAAAAAGGAGCCACAAAATACTTCAGTTAGATTTCACTTTTATAAAATGCATAAGCAAACAGTCTGTTAATATAGGGCATGTATAATGTGCTTAAGCAATAAGGAAATCACAAATGAGAATGAAGAGGATAAAAATCCCCCAATTTAAGATAGTTGTTACATGGAGTAGGCAATGTAGAGAATGAGAAGGAATAAAACAATGGTGTGGCCAATGTTCGTTTCAAGTTGAGTGGGCCCATGGGTGTTTGTTTTACTTTTATGCTCTGTAACTTATAGTTACCTTACACTGTTTCTTGTATGTGTCAAAATGTCACTAAAACAATAGTTTTATTGTATAGGATATGATTGCACATATTTATATGTATGTGTGTGTGTGACCCTGTACCTTTGTATTCACGTCTTATCCATTCGTACTGTTGTCTGTTTTCTTTAGGGAATAGGCCCATTTTTACTGATTTCGTTTTATCCTCTCTACTTTCCTTAGGAAATAGCTTGTTTTCTCCTCATGCCTTAGACCTCTGATTATATGTCTAGTTTTACCCATAAAATTATGAATCAAAATGAAAATAGAATGCACACACATATGTGTGTATATAAATATTTATCTGAATGAATACTCTACAGAGGCTCAATTGATCAGAAAAGAGTGAAAGGGAGGGGAAGCAGCAGTCACTGGGTGCCAGTCACTGGGCTCCACTATGCACTGATATACAATAACTTGAGGTTATAAAACTTTAACAGATACCGGTACCAAGAGTAATGTCTGGTGTATAAATAATAAAAGATTTTCTCTAGATTTTTATTGTGTGAATTATGGTTTTAAACATACTTGCGTGGTCATGGCTGCAAATTGAACTGATGGGACATTTTGGGCTCTCCACAAATCTTCTTGGGACAGGAGGCTGACGGTCAAGGCAAGATTCTCCAGAGCTCTGCAGAGACAGATTGAACCAGGTGATTAATGCATTCTGGCAGGATCTTTAAGATCTGTTGAGTTTGTGACCCAGATCTCAAGAGGTGAATAAGTTCTTTATAGGAGCTTCTCTAGCAAAAAGGAGGAAAAGCCACAAATGGGCTCTCTGTACTGCATATGCAAATATTCACAGGATATCTAAATTGTGTCTTCTGATCATGGTCTTCTCCGGGACATTTAAACATCTCACTGCTGCAGATGGATTTGAATATCAGAAAAACTGTCCAGTTTGAGTAAAGGTAATTTGAAGCCTCTGTAAAAATGTCATAGCTCAGGTGTGGGGGGAGGGAATAAGGAGAGGATGATGATGTCTTATGAGAAAATGGTCCCTTCTGACTTTACCTCCTGTACATTCCATCTCCTCTGAAAAATAAAGGAGCGAGGAGAAAGGACTAGAGTTCCCCAGAAAGCTCCATCTTGGCCCTGGCATGGCTGTGGGACCCTCCCTTCAGTGGGTGTCATGGTGGAAGGCAAGGAACAATTGATAATGAACCCAGAGTGAAATGCACCCAATTCATTAATAAGTGAATTTATTCCCAGAGGCTGGGAACTTCTCATGAAGGAGAAATTTTGGGGCTCACAATAAAAACTGAGGGGAGAATAAGCAATGCAACATTTATTTAAAAAAATTATGTAACAGAAATTTGGTGATAAAAGACAAGTGTTTGTTTTAAAACTTACGTTTTTTAAAGCTTTTTTGTCTTACAAAGAATTCTTGAAAGAAAAAAAGAATTTCTTTTTCGTTTTAAAAAGAAATCCTTGTAACACCGTGAACCTTCCCCTCACACACACACATAAAATTTAAACAAATGTTACATTCCACATGTTATTTTATGTATTTTCCTTTTTTCTATTCTATACTATTTGAAAAGAAAATTCTGGTCACAACCTGTGGAATCTATTTCATATCCCACTAATGGGGTTTTGAAAAATGGTTATAAAATGAGAAACCTAGAGGTAATCCTGAAGAATATTATCACTGATACCAAATATCTTAGTTTAATAGCTTAACAAAGGAAAGTAGTAGCCCAATTTGAATGAATAGAAAAAGGAATGTTTTAAAGTATACTGTAAGGAATAAAATAAAATACTTCTAGGGTGTATTCATAGTGATGGAGAAATGCTGTATATGACTGGAAAGGCTTGTGTTAAAACACGATATTATCGTAGGCAGCCAACCATTTGAACTAATTTTCATTAGTATGGCGATCACAAGTTGAAAGACAAATGCAGAGGCACAAGACATCAGCAAATCTCCCCTCCACTCCCACCCCGGGTCTCTTTCTGATCATCACTGAATTAAGGAACCTACATAGCACCTTAAAATATTTGTAGTTACATTACTGTAATACTCAACACACCAGCATTTACCAGAAAGGTTTTCTTAACTAAGCTTTAGTTTTTCTTCTTTTATGAGAAATAACTTTATGGTCTCCACCATCTTTAGGAGTTGAATTAAAGTGTGGAGTCCACCTCCAATTTGTCCTCTCCTCTTCAAGGTCAAGGTGGAGGCCCTCAATGAGTTCTCCAAGGAGAAAACCCCATGTTGGAAATCCTCAGTGGTGATGATCATGGCCTTTACTGCTGGGTTTGCTGGTGCCCAGGAGGGACCCTGAAATAGCTCAAGGATTAGAGATGAGTCTGAGTATTTGGATTAGAGACATATATGGTAGGATCTCTGTTCCAAACGCCATATAATTTATTAAGTTGAGATTCAGTGGCCATTAAGTAGCCTGTGGTTTTTTTAAGGAAAATAACCAAATTTGAAGTCTGTTTCTGGTTCTTTGTATTTCAAAATCAAGATGGTTTATTGTGTTGTTATTAAAATTTTAACTCCAGAATTGTAACAACCAAAGAAAGAATACATTTAAAAATGCACTGTGCATTAACATGCCTGTGGAAGCCCTCGGCCTCAAAGTTTGAGTGGTTTAAAATGTAGATGGGTGGAAGGAGCCAGGAATGTGCAAGGTCCAATTCTTGCCTTTTAATTTTACGGTTATCAAAGTTAAATGAGGAAAGAAAAGCAGTAGATAAGCAGAATCACCACCTGTTTCTGACATGTAAGTTTCATGGGAATCACTTTTTTAAATCTCTAAAAATGATAATTGAATGTGACGTATTTGGAACCTCACTTGACTCATGCCTGACCCATTTCTTGACACCAACTCTGGGATGAGATCTTTGCACATCTCTCCTTGTTTTCTTACGTGTGCCTCCACCCTCCTGTGCTGTCCAGGGGTGAAAGAGGGAATGCCACGTGGTATTTTTCACGTGCAAATTGCCCCAAAGGCCCTCCCCTGCCCCCCACCCCTCACAGCTCAGTGGCTCTGTTTTGTCTGTGTTTTTAATATTTGAAGGGTAGCTGTTTGGGGCTTGTAATAATTATATTTACAAAGCAAAAATCGTGAGGATAGTACTAACTTGAACCAGCTTTTGTTTCTTAGAGCACTTGAAGTGGCTTTTGCTAGGTTGAAATGTTCATTTGGGGAAACATAAAATCTTGTTTAAAAAGAGGCTATTTGGGGGGAGGAAAAAAACAATAAAAATCACTTAAGCATGAATTTTGTTAGATATTAAACGAGTGCCCGTTGCAGCTGACACCAATGAGAAAATCTGAATTCAGAGAAATAGAAACCCAGGGCTTGGGACTTCCCCAGTGGCACAGTGGTTAAGAATCCGCCTGCCAGTGCAGGGGACACTGGTTTGAGTCCTGATCCGGGAAGATCCCACATGCCATGGAGCAACTAAGCCTGTGCGCCACAACTACTGAGCCTGCACTCTAGAGCCCGTGAGCTACAACTACTGAGCCTGCATGCCACAACTACTGAAGCCCGCACGCCTAGAGCCTGTGCTCCACAACAAGAGAAGCCACTGCAGTGAGAAGCCCGTGCACCACAAGGAAGAGTAGCCCCCGCTCGCCGCAACTAGAGAAGGCCCATGTGCAGCAACAAAGACCCAACGCAGCCAAAAAAAAAAAAAAAGAAACCCATGGCTCTGTCTTACTTGGTGATTTAGTTGTTTGTTTACTTTGTGCTCCATCCAGTTCCAGCCTTGATGCCCTGGATGCTGACAGTGAAGGAGAGGGGCATTCCGAGCGGTCACGCATTTGCTACACTCCAGTGTCTCAGAGTTCCTCGAGAACTGGCATTACTAGTGGGGATGAATTGGACTCTTTTGAGACCAACACTGAACCAGATTTTAATATCTCCAGGACTGAATCACTGTCTTTATCAAGTAGCCTGCAGCTGAAGGTATTCTTATTGGTATTAATTTGGTTTATCGTAAGCCTGAAAAATATGTTGTCTAAATCCACCCATCTCTGAAAGACAAATTATGTTACGGTCACATGTGTAAACTTTTTTTTTTGAAGACCCGTGAGCTGCCTGAGCTTGCCTTTTTACTCTCTCCCACTCTAATGTGTATAGTCTTTACTTACAATGGCTGATTTGTTTTCATGAATCACCACCAATACAGATAATCTTTCACATACTTGGAAAATTTTACCATTTTATACTGTGATTTCTGCCATCACCCCTTAAGCAATGGGAGAAAAGCTGGTAGTATGAAGTGAGTTTAAGTGATCAAACTTGTTTTGTACACATACAATTTTACTTGGCACTGGTGTTAAGGTAAATAATATTGCTAAGGCAGACATGACATTTGTTGAGCGTTCCTGGCTGCATGAACTCATCTGGAACACCCATAGACTTTGTCAGTTTTTCCATAGGAGACAGCTTTCCTGTCATTGGCATTTTCGCATTGGAATTTCATTTTGTTGTGGTCTTTTAAAAGACTAAACTCTTCCAGTCTTGCAGAGAAAGCCCTTTTCTGTTTGGACCTATGTTTTCTTTTTGATTTCTGTTGTCCACTTGTTTTCTTTTTCAATTGAGTTTACTGCTATAAAACAATGTGTGCTGTGCCCAGACGTCTCATACCACAAACATATGGTGGTTATGGTAATGCTTTATTTTTGTAGTGTTCTCTACAATATACAAAACGTGCTTTTATATAAAATGTTTAATTTTCTCATAACTCACCTAGGATATAAGGGAGTACTTTTATTTTAATTTTTGATCAGTTGAAGTTCTGGAGAGATTAGATGTCCACGTTGCCCAAGTTTGGTGATAGAGTCAGAACTCAAATCTAGGCCTTCTGACCGCAGGTCCTGAATCCTCTTCCCTCAGCTCTGAGTCCTGTGGAGCTGTCATAATCTTCTGAACCTAAAGGTCATGTGATATTTCTAGATAATAAGAAATAGGTATGGTTGTTAATGTAGCCACTTCTCAGATTTGCATTTTGAATGGAACTGTGAAAAATTCACCATAACTTGGAAGGAAAAGTAATTCTTTGTGAAACAGTTCCATGCTGTTCACTTTTAAGAAGAATCTGTCCTATAAAATATGTCTTGCCTTGCCTCTGTAATTACCCTGTGTAACTTTTTTGCCAAAGAATTCTGGATAATTTTCAAAGTCCTGTTATGAAAAATGATTACCATGCATGACTTAAACGCAGAGGGTGGTACTTGGCTAGGGCCCTTTGTGGCCGACTCACTGTTAGGGTTATAGGACAACTCGGGTTGGCCTTTCTGACATCCAGGCCCACTGGGTCTTTCCCAATAAGTAAGTCAGGGAGCCATGGCTTAAGACCTTTTGAAGCAGGGTCAGGCTTCTGTTTTCAACTTTCCTCCAGGCTCTTCAACTAAACCGTAAGCCTGGGGCAACCATGTGCTTTCACTTAGGGAAGAGAAGAGAACAGTGCTTGTGACAAGGACAGTTGCTGATGGCTTAAGTTTAGTAACGCATTTTGCACCACTTTCTTTCACCTGTAACCTTAAGTGGTATCTTAAAAATGGATGGGGGTGGGCATCAATCCTAAGGCCACTAGGCCTCTGTGGGATGGGATTTGGGTGCCATAAATGGCTTTAGTGGCATTCTATTGTGTATTCATTTAAATTTTCTAGAACATGTAAGAAAAGCATTTTTTAAATTATCTGTCCATCTTGCGTTTTTCATGTATGTTGCCAGTATAATAATAGAGATAATAGGTAATTGGGAAAACAGGAAAAAAATAGCAGGTCATTTAAAAGAAATAAAGTTGAACATATATAAATAAGTGATAATTCAAGCAAAATCCCAGGAAGTGCTGGATGGAAGGTCTGTTGAAAGATGAGCACAGACTAGAAGGATTTGTGTAATGACCTGATGCATTCTTTCCTGGAGGCTGCAGCTAACATTACAAACTTAAATAGCCATTAGGAACTTTTAAAAACTTGGCATTTTAGGTGACTGTTCCTCTACCTTCTAATAATTATGTATAGAGAGCTCAGTTCATATGGAATTTTGCTTAAATGCTACAGTTTAAAGTAACAAAACTAAGTGACAACTCAGGTTAAAAAAAAAGTCAAACTCGTTGAATATGCAAGAGAAAGTCATGTGACTTGATTTTTCCCTTTTAACCAACATGGTTGGAATGTCATGATTGTATCCTAAAGTATATAGGAAATATAGAAACTATTCCCAAAAGCTCACATTTACTAAAGCATTAAAAAGACAATAACATTTTTCAAGTTGTGAGAGGCAAACAGAAACAAATCGTTAATAAGATTACTTCAGAAATGTTCAAGTTGAATCCTTTTTTTAAAGGTTCTGATTTTGGTGATGAACACATACTTTCAAGTCTTCCATAAAATTTTTTTTTAAACTTCGTTATGATTTCTTTTAGGAATCATTGTTTTCTGGAGTCCGCTCACGTTCTTATTCCTGCTCATCACCCAAAATTTCTTTAGGAAAAACTCGATTGATCCGTGACTTTACAGTGTGCAGTTCAGCTGAAGGTAAGCATTGGTTACCATTTGGCTGTGAAAGCATTCTTTTCTAGGGTGGATTTTCAGTGAGTAAAAGTGCATAAAGTATGTAAGAGCAGCAGGCAAGTATTTTCAATTTCATTTTCACTATTGATTTTTCTAAGCTTAGCAAAATCCTTTTCTCATTGGATATCAGACAAGGTGTAAATTTGATTTTGATGAAATGACAGATGTGTATACACCTCTCTGTTGCCTTATTTTTTTTGAATAAAATGTTTTCCTCAAGGACAGTGTAAACTATGATTTCTTCTAGGTTCTTTTTTGTGAGGGCTTTAGAGAATTTTATTTAAGGAAGTTATAAAAGTTACGTTTGTCCTACGTATAAATTGCTGAAATAATCCAATTCCTCACAGTTGCAAAAGCATTGCAAAATGGATTGTCTTCATTGCTTTATTTAACAAGGGACTTTAGAAAGTTAAAATAACAGAACATACTTGAAACACAAGTAAATATATCTCAAACATTTTTTTGTGGCCTATGTAAGCAACAATCAGCAATACAACTTTTATACAATAAAATTTTAATTGAAATATAGTATACCTACAGAAAGAGGTGCATGTTATAAGCATATAGCTTGATGAATTTTCAAAAGTGAATTGAGATTAATAAATATAGAACAATTGTGGCAACTCAGAGCTGCCCTTGTACCCCTTCTTAGCCGCTACCCCAATTTTCAACTTAATTCTGGAATGTAATTATTTAACACTTTCTGTGTACCATATGTTATGTAATAATTACATTTAAAGCTGTATTTGGAAGTTTTAATGTCAATCTGTAATACATAGCATTATAACAAATTTTTGGTCAATGTATTAGGTAATGCCTTTTTTTGTCTGTTATCCTTAAGAGCCTTAGAAGACTCAGAAAGTGAGAGATGTGCTTAAGTATTCTCAATTTCCCAGCATAGAATATTTAAAATAGGATTTATTTTACTCCTTCTTTTCCTTTCCTTTTTTCTTATTCTTGCTTTGTTACATTGCCATTCTTTTGCATCCTTATGCCATGTGGAACAACAGTGAAAGCATAATCTTTGTGCTTGGACCTGCCATCCTAAAGCAATGTCTAATGTATGGAGAGGTTCAATCAATATTTGTTGAATGAGTGCAGCAGACAAAATACATAAAATACAAAAGAAATGCTACAAGGCATTTTTTTTCCTTTTTCTTTCTGGGATGTCTTTTTGGAGAAAGAGAAAACAGGGCTGATAATAGATGTCAGGTTTGATTTTTAGAATGGGAAGATGGAGAGAAAGGACCAAGAGAAAGAAAGGAGACAGCTACCTTGAGGGGACAGGAGTAGAAGAGGATTGAATTTGCCCTGGATGTTTTTTCAATACCATAAGTCTTTCTAGGATCTCCAGGTCTCCCTAACCTTAGTTTAGGTTGGGATTCCTTTTAATGGCAGCTTTGACACCTTTTCACTGATAGTCTTAGAGATGGTGAATTAACTTTGTACTGTATTTGGAAAACACTTTTAAGTCTTCTGTGCAGTGTGCAAAATGGTGCCTTTGCCTTTATATCTGTAGTATCTCTGATTATTAAATTCCGACCGTTCTGATGTTTGAAATCTCAGACGACTGAGAGAAAAATGGATAGTTTAGAAGGGGAAAGAGCCCTGATTTATGAATTCTCTAATGAATAAGGGAGGGTATTTTTGCTTTACATACATTCCTTAAATCTTCACCTTTGAATTAGAAAGAATAAAAAGCTGAAATCAATTCCTTTGTTTTTTCTGTGAATAAAAGCTTGTCTTTAGATGGTATGTTTAAAAATAGGGCTATTGGATGAAGTTTGACACTCTCCAGAAGGTAAGAATTACAAACAGGCAATTTAGGTTGAGGCTACACACTAAATGTACAAAAATTCCAATGGATGTTCCTCTATGGTAGCAAACATTTGGAGTGATATCATTTAGGTCAGTCAAAATCATAGGACTGTGAAGAATAAATTAGCTCTTAAGGAAGAAAAACTAATTTTAACTGTGTGTGTGTGTGTGTGTGTGTGTGTGTGTGTGTGTGTGATCAAAGCACAGGTGTGAAAGCTTGACTATTTCAAAGATGTATTCTAATGTTTCATTGTTTAATCTGCTTAATCAGAGGTAAATTGACATTTGTGTTGTTATAAATCCTCTCTCAGTGAGTTTTGAATAGTTCTAAAAATTTTTTCTGTTTGAACAGAGTCCAAGTCTTCCTTTCTCAGTGGAAAATTCCCGTAAATGAGCTACTGATATAATACAGATATACAGAGACAGGATCGTCTTTCAGTCCTTTTTTATACTTATTTATGATGTCCTCTCTTGTCACTCTCAGAGGGTTACTTAACGATCATTTATCATGCTTTTGTTGTTGTTTTTGAGGGGGCCAAGAGTACAATGGTGGCAACTTTATCGTTTAATGCTTTTTATATATAAAACAAAATCCAATCCTATATTTCCCTTGGGTACATCATGGATTTAGATAGAAAGGAATATTCTCCATGTTAGAATGATAATTACAGCATCACCAAGATGGACAAAAGTGCTCTACACTTAAAAATTTGAGGAGTGAAGTGAATGTACTTTTGAAAATTATTGTGCACTGATGGATGGAATCCTGTTAGACTTTGTCCAGTTGTCTGAGTCTGATTCTGTTACTTTATTAGCTTGATTATTTGGGATATATGGCTTATTCTCCTGACACCTCAGTCTGTATACAAAAAGGATAGTGATTTCTGCCCATGACTTAATTTGAAGAATATTTAATGGCAATAAAATAAAAGTCTTCGAACTCTTCAGAGTAGGTTTTCTGTTACCTACAAGGTAGTCTTGGGTTCAACATTGATATTTCCACATTTCAGGAGATATGTATTCATTAGTTTTCCCCTGTATATATGTGGCCCATCTCCCTTTGCAACCTAGTTTTGCCTCTTCACTCTTCCGGATTGTAACGGTAAAGGATTTGTCCCTGCTCTGTAGATGGTGTGCTCCACAGTGGCCGTTCCCTCCTTCAGTCTCTCTCACTGTCTAAGTCAGTGTCTCTGCTCCATCCCTGTAGTAAGTACTCCGGTTTGGGAAATAAGATGGCGCTACGCTGCTTGCATGAGCCTGCCCCTTCTACCCAGCCACCCCAGTCCAATGGAGGAGGGGCTCTCCCTTTCTCATGAGCCACAAAGCACACCTCCGAACTGGCTGCTCTGTAAAGGCATTACAGTTACATTAAAATGGACTCTTTCTTTTAAAATGGACTTTTCTTTTAAGCTTTGCCAAAAAGCCGCTAAGATATTTATTGATTCTGTACGTTGGGGAATTAGTGTACGAATAAGGGATGACGCTCTGGTGAGAAATATCCAGAAACATAGAACTGATTTTCTGCATTTCTGAAAATGTTTGCTGCCCCTTGCTGATGCTAACTTATTTCACAAAATCATTAAATGTTTCCCTGTGTTGGCCTCCTCCCCATTCTCCCCAAGTTAGGGAAAGTGATAAAAATATCCAGAGCAATGCCCTAGTTCTATAAAATGACTTTTTTCATTATTTTCTAACTGGTGGTATGTGTAATGATAATGTACGGTTGAGTGTGTGCACTTCAGACTAACACACGACTGCTAGTTTGTCTGCCTTCGTTTTCATTTTATTGTTCTGTGTCTTGTAGAGCAAAGAGCTTACAGCTTACCGGAGCCACCAAGAGAAAAAAGGTATTTTAACCCTTCCAGATTTCCTGAGGGACTGCTTGATCCATCTTTGGAAATGTGTGCACATCATTTTTGATACCTGTTCAATAGTTTGTGAGAGGTTTCTGCCTAATGAGCCTGCCTGAATCCTTTGTACGCTTTGTGATCTGTATGGGTGTAGGTTTGCCAGCTGTTCCTTTCATTCCCCGGATGAACAGGCCTCAGGACTGGGGACAGAGTAGTCTGGGGTTATTTTCAAAGCCAAACACTTTCAATGTACAGCAGCATGCGGAGCAGTGTGAGACCACCCGCTTTAGAAAGGTATCAGGTTCTCACTAGGTCTGTCCACTATGACAGGAAGACTTCTTGTGGTAACAGACCCCTGGGGTCAGTTTTAGAAAGTGCCTAAACATCTCTGCTGTCTGTCGTTGTAGAGTATCGCTTAGAAGTGTTAAGTGTGAAACAAAGAATAAATGATGCAGAAAGTACTTTGAGCGTTACCAGTTTTCTGATTAATGTGAAGATTTGAAAGCTGTATGCCTAAGCTGCTCTTTTCCCTAGAAGGTAAAACTGTCCTTAGAGTAAAGCTTGGGCAGCTGACTAGCAAGCAGGCTGGATTGCTGCGCTCTGTTGGTCTTGAGAAACTAACTGCTCGTGAATCACACTGTGCAATAGCCCTGGGGTTATGTCAGAAATGGTGTAAGTGCTTGGCTTTGAGAGACCATGGGGAAAGGAGGAAAATGGTTTTAATTTGGGTGCTATTAATGCTCAAACTCTGAAACCTTTTACTATATAGATCAAGAGGGATTATTTTGCTTTAAATCTTGGACTGAAAGTATGAAGAAGGAAAAAAAAAAATCTCCTTTTGCTCATTCCTATTTTTTGGAGACCAGAATAGAAATTCTGAAACGATAAAACAGGGGAAGACTAAGAATGCCTTTTGAGAATAAGCTGATGATGAAAGGACATCAGGGCCATGATGATGGTGACAGCGGGAGCAGCAGTAACTGACCGTTGTTGGGTATTTTTATGTGCCTGGCACTGTTTTAAGCTGCTTACGTTTATTACTTCATTTAAGCGGTTTGTTGACTAATTCTGGACTTTGTTCATCATTCTGGTCATCGTTCTGGTTAGAAGTCTTATCCTTGTTATCTTTTTAACGATTGGAGAAGTAATAGACTGACTGCAAGGATTTTTTGAAAATCAAAAATATTTTCCATTAAGAGAGGGACTTAAGACTGGAAGAGCCATTGTCAGAATTGGTTAAATATTAGCCTATAAAATGTGTTAACTTGGATGAGATGTATAGGGATGTATTGGATGGGATGAATATTTTTCTCATATTCCTCATTCTTGTTTTTTTCTTCCTGTTCTTGGTTGTGTCTTGGGTCTGCATCCCGAAAGCATCTGACTTTCTTAGTCATATCCCCTGGTGTATCTAGTAGAGTAGATATTCCATCTCCCCTACTATGTTCCTGATACCCTGTTGGATACACCAGTAAGGTCCCTGGCTAGACCTAATGCTTTGCTTTGGTCATGCTGTAGACATTTACTTGGGGGTTTGCCTTCTTTGGAATTCCCTTACTTATGTTGATCACTTCGTTTCTGGAAAAGAGTGCAGCCAGCTAAAAGGGGGCTCACTCCAGACCTTGCAGAGGCTCATTCTTATAGGAGCAGGCGCTTCATGTATCCCATTTTAGGATTATGTGGTGCAACTCAGTTATTTTATTGCCACCATCTATCTTAAGTCTGATACATCTGTTACCTTTTATTTTTTTATTTTTATTTTTTTATTTTTTTGCGGTACGCGGGCCTCTCACTGTTGTGGCCTCTCCCGTTGCGGAGCACAGGCTCCGGACGCGCAGGCTCAGCGGCCATGGCTCACGGGCCTAGCCGCTCCGCGGCATGTGGGATCCTCCCAGACCGGGGCACGAACCCGTGTCCCCTGCATCGGCAGGCGGACTCTCAACCACTGCGCCACCAGGGAAGCCCACCTTTTATTTTTTTAAGAAAATGAGAATCTGGCTGTTCAAAGTTGAAGTTTCACCTGTGTCAGTTTTCAATTTGGATAGTTGGAGCTTTTTAAATACTTAGATGCCCAGTTCTTTTAAAAAATAGGTTATAGATATAATAGGTTAAGGATTAAGATATTGAGGCTATATCCATATTATTAAGACACTTAAAATATCTGTTTACCTATTGAAAAGGTAATGCCAAGAATCTCTGAAGAATGGGGCTTGTAAAACTTTATTGTGGGTAATTCCATTGGTCATCAAACTGATAATAGAGTTAGGCATTCTTGTTCTGGGATGTTGAAAGAGTTCAAGTAAATTTTTCCAGATTCTTATAAATTGAAAAGCTGTTTACATTCTGTTGTGAAATCAGTTGAGGATTTTTCCCTTCTGAGTTCTTCTCTAAAGTACCTAATTTTTACGTAAGTGAATACCACATAGTTAAATTAGATTTGAAACATGGACTCAACCAACCTTCTACATCTGCCCAGAAGTTACACTGTGTTTCCCATTGTGATAATCTGAAAGTGGGTCATGTCTATGATATTCACGTGTCTACCAGGTTAGATGATTCAGAGTTTTTAATATTTAGTGTTTCAGTTTTTTGTTTGTTTTGTTTACTTTGTCATCTCGGTTCTTGTCAACCTTTGGAATTAAAGATTAAGTGGTATGATTTTATGTCTTTTTTTTTTTTTTTTAATAAATTGCAGTGCATCTGTAGGTTTTAAATCAAAACTGTAACATTGTTCTTGATACAGTCTTCTGTAGCATAGGGAGTTGGGAGTAGAGTCTGGTAAACAGGAACTCATTTTCTTTCATTTGAGAGAGTGTAGTTGTGTTCCTGCTGGGAAGTAGGGGAGAGGACTTCACCTCAAAAATCACGTTGACCTTATCATTCTTCGATTCTGAGATTTAGGTTTCCGCCCCATATTTTTCTTCTCTTAGACATTGGGTGGCTCTTGGTGGGGTCCCAAAAAGTGTTCCAGAGAGGATTCTTTCTCAGCTGTCAAGTGTGCTTTTTTCCCCATTCCCGAAGTGAGCCTGTTGAATATTATTCCACGAGTTTTGCAAATTAGGATGCTTAAGACACAAGAGGTATGGAAATTTACAGATATATTAACCGGTGATGTATCTAAGAAGGTGGCTGTGGAAGTAGAAAGGAAATAAGAGGGTCCAAGTTCCTTGTGTTATTCTGAGTAGTGTAGGACACTTTCACTTCTGTTTTCCATCTTTCCTCTCTAACTTTTTCAACTGTTTTCTCAGTAGCAAACCCAATTTCATGAACTGTGCAGGGTTCGAGTGGCAGGACACCCACTGTCCTGACTATACCTGCGTGACCAAGAGGTAGCTCTGAAGTAATTTATTATTTATGCTAAATGCATTCACTGAGGTTTGGACTCCCAATTATCTAATATAGAGGTCAAATAACTTAGTTTTGTTTAATATGTACCAGTTAAGTACTTATTTAAACGTGAGAAAGGGCCTTAGAAATAACTTAGTCTTTGATCAGATGAGAAAAACTGAAGTCCTAGAAGTTGTCTTTTAAGTCATTTTTGTAAAATTTAATCATATGTATTTTGGTGCATATCAATAGTATGATTGCTTTTGAAGGTATTTCCCAGAGATGAATGTATTAGCCACTAATGCTGACAAGTAAGAAGTTTGAGGGATAGGAGAGACATGGGTTATGAAATGTTCATTTTGGAAATTGTCTACAGAAGTGTTATCTGGTTTGACATGATACTTTTGTTGGTGTTCAATATATTCACTCTTTCTTTCTCTCTTTGTAATAATATTAGAATACAAGACCATCAGAGAAAGTTCTAGGGGAAATATAAAAGTTCCAGGGAAATTTCCTCTTCATAGCTGGGACTTTTTTTTTTCCCCTAAAGAATGATTCTGTGGATTAGAGGAAAATCAGTGATGTTCAGTGTGTTCACAGTTGGGTACAATTACCTCTAACTTGCCTCTTATTTGGGGGGAATTTCCACAATATTCTCTCCTTTGCAACCTAGAGTCTCAGATTGCAAATAGCCTGATTGAGTGGGAGAGATGGAACCATGAGGCAGACAGTCTGTTTCTCAGGCTGTATTGACAAAGGAAATGTGTGTCTGCTGAGTATTATCTCTGTTCCAAAAATAGATAAAATCCAGTTTGATGTCGGTGGTTATTTGGCTTCTATGTGGTAGGAAAATTCTATTAGCATAGTAAACAGGGAGATGAATGTTTTCAGAGTAAAATTATAAGTGTAAGATTTCCTTTATTTCTCTAATATTTTAATATGAAAATTTTAAAGTATACAGAAAAGCTGAAAGAATTATATATTAGAATACCTATTTCCACCACTTAGATTCTGTAAGTGTTAACATTGTGAGATAGTTGCTTTATCATACACTTATCCACCTATTCATCTATAAGATATATTTTTAATAGTTTCTATCCTTATCTTTAGAATAACCATTAAAGCCTGAAAACTATGTATGTGTAAAAATAATATGTACAAAATACATCTGTGTGTTTGTATACATACACACATACATACACACACATATGTATGGCTGCTCTCTTTTGCTCCCTCTGGTAAGTTTTATAAGCTGTGATAACAGATTCTTTTTTGTAGAATTCAGGAAGAAGAATGGGATAAATACATCATACCTGCCAAATCAGAGTCTGAAAAGTACAAAGTGAGCCGAACTTTCAGCTTCCTCATGAACAGGATGACCAGCCCTCGGAATAAATCTAAGGTAATTAAGGTTTTATGCCTATCGTCTATAAAGCGTAGATGCTCAGTTTCTGAGCAATTAGTATAGTTTCCACTTTCCCTTTAAAATCATTTACCTTAGGTTTTGTACACACATATTTAAAAACCTCTATATTCCTTATGGGGTATTGTCCAAGTCATTGAAAATACTGAGACCACTTTATCCTGGGTGCTGTTACATTTTGGCATCATCACACTTCTTGGTGTGTGGCCCTTCTGTCCTGATAGAACACGTAGAGACTTTGTATGACTTCTGTAAGTTGATTGGCTCTGAGCATTTCTCTTTTCTCCCCACTTTGCTGCTGCTGCCACATCTAAAGACAAAAGGCAAGGATGCCAAAGACAAAGAGAAACTGAGTCGACATCAGTTTGTCCTGTAAGTTGATTGGCTCTGAGCATTTCTCTTTTCTCCCCACTTTGCTGCTGCTGCCACATCTAAAGACAAAAGGCAAGGATGCCAAAGACAAAGAGAAACTGAGTCGACATCAGTTTGTCCCTGGAACATTCTCTGGGGCTCTGCAGTGTTTGGTTTGTGATAAAACGCTCCTGCGGAAAGAGTCGTTCCAGTGTTCCAGTAAGTTCTCGGGCCCCATGTGTGCTGTCTTCGTGCGTGCTTTGCCTCCCCAGACAGTAAGCTCCCTGAGAATACTGCCAGCGCTAAGTGTGTTCATGTAGACTTTCGTTTTCATGCCTATGTGTGGTTTCATCAGCAAGCAATGACCCAGGATGGTTGAGTCGGTACTTTGTGTCCACAGGCGATAGTCTCTCCTAGAACCCAGACTGTTACACCTCACTGCCTTCTGATGTCTCCACTTGGATGTCTAAACAGCATCTCAAATGGAGCTCTGTTCTCCCCGTTCTGTGCCCACCTACAAACTGACCCTCTCAGTTTAATGGCAGTTGCATCATTCCAGCCAAATGCTCGTGCCAGCAATCTTGGAGTATTTCTATCTACCTCTCTTTCTCTCAGTCCCACACTCTCCAGTATTCCTCTTGGCTCTGTCTTCAAAACATATACGGAAGTCAGCCTCTTCTCACCCCTGCCACTGTTATCACCCTGGTCTAAAGCCATCATTTCAGTAGCTTTGCAACTGGTCTCCTTGTGCTTTTACTGCAAAAAGCATAGCTCTCAAAATCTCAGTCCGAGCGAGTTTGTCAAGGCATTTGTCCTTGTGTTCCAGATCCTCCGATGGCTTCCTGTCACCCTGAGCGTGGCCAGAGCCCTGACAGTGGCTGCAAGGCCCCCATGACCTCCTCCTGTCATCCACTCCTCCCACACCTGTGCTTCAGTCCCTCTGGCATCTTTGCTGTTCTTCCAATACTCCGGGCGTCAGGCATGCTCCTGCCATGGGGCCTCTCCTGCGGTTCGCTCTGCCTGCAGTGCCCTCAGTTAGCTGTGTGGTTTGTCCCCTCACCTCCTTCAGGTCTCCTTCAGATAACACCCCCAAGTCAGGCCTTTCTTGACCACTCTCTGCTTGGCTCATTTGCCCCCTTTTCCTCCTTTTTATCCCACTGTAGCATTCAACATCATCTAACTTACTCTCTGTTCTGTTTATCAATTTTATTATCTGTCTCCTTCACCAGAATGTAAACTCTACGAGGGATGGATTTTTGTCTGTTGATTTTGTTCTCTGCTATATCCACAGTGCCTAGAACAACGCTTTTGCATAGCAGGGGCTTAGTAAGTATTTATGGAGTGAAAGAATATTTCAGTGCAAAAGAATTTAGGCCCAGGCAGGTAAAATCCGTTTCATGGTGTTTGTTGGTGACCAGAATTAGGGGAGCATTTGGGGGGTGGGATGGGAGTACAAAGGGAGGTGAAGAGCAGAGGAAGGTTATATGTAAAGTTCTTCATTAAATTCCTAGAAATGATTAAATTAAAAATTTAAATGTATCCATTCACACTGTCTTTAATGATGCCAGTTTCACTGCCTGCTTGAACTTTGCTTTCCTTGGAGACTTGATTTCTTTCTTTTATGTGACCCGAGATAGCATCAAGCAAAAAATAAATAAATAAATAAAACTACTCTAAAAAATAAAGTCTACTAATTAAAAAACAAATAGCATCAAGCAGTTCAGCTGTGATTTAATTTGCCAATTTTTTAGAAGTTTGCCGAAAGTATTGTTTGTGGATTTTTTTTTAAACATTCATTTTATTTATTTATTTGGCTGTGCTGGGTCTCAGCCGCGGCACGCAGGATGTTTTAGTAGCGGCATGCGGGATCTTTTTAGTTGTGGAATGTGGGGTCTTTAGTTGCGGCATGTGAGATCTCCAGTTGTGGCATGCGAACTCTCAGTTGTGGCTTGTGGGATCCAGCTCCCCGACCAGGGGTGGAACCTGGGACCCCTGCCCTGGGAGCATGGAGTCCCAGCCACTGGACCACCAGGGAGGTCCCTGTTCATGGGTTGTTAATGGCTTGCCCGCATGTCAGCAGTCAGTTTATGGGTTTGATGGCATATGTTTCATCGGTTGTGGCTCTTGTTCATAGGGCTGGATCTCTTCAGCTGTACCCTCCAGCCACATCCATGACCTTTCTCTCCCCTCATTTTAAGACAGACTCCTCAAGTTGGGCAACCTCCACTCACTGCTCTGCCATCTATTCCTGCCACTTCTTCCTTAACCATCTGATTTTGGCCTCTGTTCCCACTACTTAACAGATGTCTTGCCCTTGACCTGAGCATCTTTCCTCGTTACTGTTCTCAGACTCACTGATCTCTCTCCTGTTTATTGTCCCTTTGTGTAGGTAGACGTCCTCTTTTCCATGGCACACTACTCTTCTGTTTACCACCTGTATTGTCTCCTTTCTCCTAACTTTGAGTACCCTCCAAACTCAGTGCTCGGGCATTTGTTCTTTTCTCGGTATTGTTTCTAAGTATAGTCATCCAGTCTTTTGTTCTAAAATACTGTACTTAAACCTGTTCTTCCCAGATTCACGTCTTTATCGCTCACTTTCTAATTCCATATTTCTAGTTGCCAAGAGAGGCTGATCCCCCATGTAACTTGTGGCTATATTTGAGCATTATGGCAGAGCTACAGTGTAAACCAAGACTGTCCCGGGCACACCCTGTCTGTGGGCATCATCACTCAAAGATCTTCTTGTCTCCCGGACCAACGTGTCTAAAACCGACCTTACAGTCCACGTGCAGAAGGCTGTTCTTGCTGTGTTGATGGTACCAGCTCGAACGTTGGGCATGTTGACTCTTAGTTCCTCTTCCTCCTGGCACCCCAGTCCATGTGGTCCCTCTTTCATTTCCTTTCTCACTGTTCCTGCTCTGGTGGCTTCTCATCACCACCTCTGGACTGCTGACAGCAAACTGTTCTAGTTTCCCCCCTCTCTCTAGGTATTTTCACTTACAGTTCATCTGGATACTTTCACCACCTTAATCTTAATGAAGCATTGCTTCCGTCCGCACACATACGCTTGAGGACGTCTCTCTCTTTTGTTTACTGGACTAAGCCCAGGCTTTTCAGATGTGCATTCGGTTCTACCTGCATCCTGCTGGCTAGTCCTACGGTTACTTCCCTGTTCAGCCTTGGTTTACAACCAGAGGCCTTGGCAGGCCTGTTGTCTTTTCTCCCACTGTGTATGTTTTCCTGCCTCTGTTCCTTCACTTACGATAATCTCCTGTCTCTCAGTTTTCCCTGCTCCTCTACTTCATCCAGATTTCTTGCCTCTTCTTGGGAGGTCTTCCTTGACCACTGTGGCCCGGGTTCCTGCACATCACACTTAGGATCTATTTATCCCATCCAGTTTAATACTGGGGTATGTACAGCCTCTTCTGATTTTAACTACTAGCATAGACTTTATGTTCTTGGAGGTCTATAGTCACATAATGGTTCTTTTGTATCCCCTACAGCAGCTATCGCAAAGCTGGGCCCTTAGACACTCGTATGTAGTTAATGATTACTGAAAGCTTAGGGATCACTGAAAGGCAAATTCTTGCAGTACAGAATATGTTGGTTCATACTGAGTTGGTCAAGTGGGTTGTCATGAAAGTTTTAGTGCAAGATGGAAATTGCTGAAAGTACATAGATTATATTTAGCTTTTAAAATGGTCATTAATTTTTTTTAAAAAGGCAGCAGGATTCATAGAAGATACAAGGTTTAAGGTGAAACAAAATTATCTAGACTTTTACCACCTAGAGAAAATTGCTATTCATATTTTTATGGAATCCCTCCTAATCACTAAAAAAGTCAGCTTTGTATGCTAATGTCTCATTTGATGGTATCAAATGTGCTTAATTGTTCCTTACTTGTTGTGCATTTAAGTTTTTTCCAATTGTTTCACAACGTAAATAATGTTGCAAGGAGCATTCTTTTCCACATATCACTGCCCACATCTTTGATCATTGCCTTAGATTAAATTCTAGAATCAGTTTGAGTATATGTTTAATTTCCTCTTTAACCATAGTCTTTTAGAAGTTTTAAGATTTACAGTTTTGGGGGGAGGGGAGTATTGGGGATTTAAACTTTGGTTATTAAGTTTTTTACATTGGGTAGGAGAATACAACGTTCAGACTGCCGTTATTGGTTAATAATCCTACTTCATGGTGCATTTTTTAATTGTGAATATCAATATTTCTAATCTTAAAAATACAATATGATATAAAACAAATAATATAAATATTCAAAATCTTGGTGTCTGTATTCTTCTTTATTAAAGCCTGAGTTGCTAGTTTTCCACAAATATTGTATTTCTATGAAATTCTCCTTGTTTATAAAGAGATTTCACTACCTATATTTTGATGTTACATTATTCGATGCACAGAAGTTTACTAATCACAGCTTCACTGCATATTTAACTTTCATAAACTTAAAACTACCCTAATGCGGTTAAATGCCATTTATAAGAATTTTACTTTGTTTAAAATTAATATTCTTCTTGCTTTCCTTTTGTTTGTATTTCTCTTACCTATTTCTGTGTTTTTAATCTGAGGTGTGTGTCTTTAATTTAGCTATAGGTAATCTGTAATGTAACTGAGAGACCTTGTTTTATAAGGGTTTTTTCCTTATTTACATTTAATCTTACAACTGTCAACTGTCTTTTGTAGTTCTTTGCTGTTTTCCTTGATGTCTGGTTCAGCTATTTAGACCATGTGTCCTCTTTTATCTTCTTCAGGGATTGGGCAAGATATGCTCTTTTAATACTTAACTAATAATAACTTTAAGGCTGTGTGAGGCTTATAATTGAATACTCTTATTTCCCTTATAGTTACCCTTTTTTCCCCCTAGCCTCTGTGAGTATGCTGAATTCATTATTATTACTTTTATAATGTATGTTTAATCTTTCAGGAATAATTTTATATTCCAACAATAATTTGATATTTGTATTCAGTTCTGTGTCTCTACTTAACAATAATCTTTTAGATGTGATTCTTTGGTTTCAGTGCTCACTTTTGCTCTTTTTTTTTTCCTTCAATAAAGCTGATCCATTCTGAACTCTTAATTTTGATTCTGCTTTTAATAGGCAGTAGGATTTCAGGTAATTTTTTTTCCAAGAAGGTTATTGGAGTAATCTGTTTTCTGAAATCTTGTGTATCTAAGGGTATATCTTTGCTTCTTTCACACAATAAAACCAATTTTATCTGGCTAAATAAATTCTTCAGTCAAACCTTTTCCCCTCAAGACTCTGCCAACACTGGTCCCTTATATCTGGGCATTTAATATTATAGTACAGTAGAAAATTCTGAGGCCTGCCTGTCCTCATGCCCTTGCTGGTAACCTGCTTTTTCTGCCTAGATGCTTGAGGACTTTTAATTTTTTGATCATAGGGATATTGTCAGACTGTGTCTATAGAATAGGTATAATGTAATGATTTTTTCCTAGAAAACAGTAAGACCTTTTGATTTGCCTTTTTTGGTTCTTTTTAAGCTTTCTAAAAGTTTTTGTCAGTTGCAGCTGTCAGTTGTTACTTCTGACCTCATTTTTCTGATTTCTTCCTTAGAGAAGTGTGATCTGTTATCTGTCATATTTGTATGACATCTTGTTTGATAATTATACACTTCTTTTTCTCCACATTCTGGAGGGACTCTTTCAAGTTCAATTTCATAGCACTGCTTTGATACTTTGTCACATCGAATCTTCTCAATTTGGTTTAAATTCCGCTCTCTTGCTCTTTTTTCTTCCTTGTAGTACTTTCTCGTCTCACAAAGCTCCGTTTCCCTGTCATCCTCTTGGCCTATGGTCACATCCTATACTCCCTTCACGGCCTTTTGGTCCTATTTTATGTCTGTTTTGTGTCTCTTAGGGAGGACACATTTCAAATATCCAAATGTTTCTTCTCCATTTCTGGATTTCATAATATTCAGTGGCTCCCTCTTCCTGTGAGTTTTCAGTATAACTTTGTTCTGTGGTACCTCCTAGCTTCTGCTTTTTTCCTTATCCTTTCATTCTCTTGTTCTGGGGTGAGGAGAGAGCCATGCCATTTTGACGTTTGCCTGCAGGACCAGTAGTACATGGACCAGCCTGTCTCCTGCTCACTGGCCATTGAGGTGTTGGCTGGGTGCCGCCGAAGACCTACAGCGGGAGGAAGGTTGTGGGCTCAGCATCTTGCTCGATTCTCAGGGGGCTGCAGTCACTGTTTGACGGGCCTCAGTGAGCCCTGCTACCCTTGTGGAAGGATTTTTCTCCTGAAGTTTCTGATAAGCCTCTGGCTCTTCCATGTGCACTCAGCGTCTCGGGGTCGGGTGGGCAGGATGAGGGTGTGGTGGTAGGTGATGTGAAGGTGGGAGGGCAGAGGGGTCAAGAAGACAGCAGCCTGTCAGGAAGCAGTCCCCATGCAGGGAGCTCTCTGAGCCTGCGGGCACGAGGGGGCAGGCAAAGTGTTCCCTTACTTCTTTCAGTGAGATGCGGCCACCTTGTTTCGTGAAGTAAAACGTAGGCAAGCTGCTAACTTTTCTCTTTTAATTTGGTTTCCTCTTTGTTAGTAGGAATTCTCTCGGAGCCTGACAGTACATTTTCTCTAGCATTGTTGTGCATTTTTCTTTCTTTCCGTCTTCATAGGCGTTTTCCCTGGGGTGCTAGCAGGCAGTTGCCGTATGTCAGAAGTCCCTTACTAATCTAGGGCATATAGTAGTGCATGAGTTCTCAGGCAGACACAGAAGTGTATGTCATGCATGATTTCAGGTTTCATAATCGATAAGACCCTGTGCAGAAGGGGAAAAATCTCTCCAAGGAATCTAAAATATTAACAGTGCGATCGGCAGTTAAGTCTGTCCATACGGGAGTCGACTGTATTCATTGTACTACACCATTTTATATAAGGGACTTGAGCATCCCCAGGGGCTCCTAGAACCAGTCCCCCAAGGACACCGAGAAAGGGCTACACAGGGTGTGCCCCCAACAGAGCTTCAGGAAATTCTAAAGAATGTACTAAAAGCAATCCAGAAAAAAGATGGGAGATGCAGGAAAGAATGAAGAACATTGACAGTGTAAAACAATAATACTGTCCGCTGGGCTTAAAGCAGCAAGATGAACACATAAGAGGGAGAGGAAGTGAGGTTCATATATTCAAATATCCTTGTGTGGTTTGAAGGACCGTAAAGCTATTCATTTCAAATTTTACTAAGTTAAATATGAATGTCAAAATATCTAGGGTAAAAATTATTAAGCTAAAAATATGTCCCATACTTGTAAAAATTAAGAAAGTAATGAGAAAAAATATTTAATTGATCCAAAAAAAGCCAGAGAGGAATAAAAATAGAAAAGAAAGCAATATAAAGCACAAAGTAAATGGACAAAATAATCCAAAGAGAGCGCTGATTACCATATAAATTGTAAAAGAGTATATAAAATACAAATAACTAAAAATATTAATTTAAAAAGGACAAAGAGGGAAGTCCCTGGCGGTCCAGTGGTTAGGACTCCGTGCTTTCACTGCAGGGACCGGGTTCGATCCCTGGTCAGGCAACTAAGATCCCACAAGCCACTCGGCCAAAAAACAAACAAACAAAAAACGGATTGTCAGAATGGATTATAGAAAATACAGCGTTATATTGCTGACAAGAAATATCTAAAGGTTTAATTTTCAGAAAGATCTAAAGTAGAGGAATGCAAAAGGATAAGGATACACTTGTATTTAGACAAACTAAGGGAAAGAAAGCAGATGTAGCCATGTTATTATCAGGCAAAATAGAATTTAATGCAAAAAGCGTAACTAGATGTTCTGCTCCAGTGGTGGGGCTACATGTGATTTAAATATTTTTTCTTTCCTTTTTAAGTTGTCTAAATATTTTTAATGTTTATGTGTTATTTTTATAATGACCCTTAAAAGCATGAGGTAGTCATATGCATTTCACTTTGCAGATTAACTTAAATAAGATGGACACTTTTCTATCTTTTCCTTTTGTTCCAGACTGTAATGCAAATGTACATAAGGGCTGTAAAGATGCCGCCTCTCCGTGCACCAAGGTAATCTCTCAGTCGTGTGTGAATGTTACATGCTTGTATGCAACTTGTTGCTTCATGTTATCTGTTTAGGTTTTTAGATTTACTAGTTATTACTGTCTAGATTTATTTTTAAAGTGGTCGTTGTAGTGATAAAATAACACATGCTCAAAGTGTATACCTATTCAGTTAACTATGCACTTGTAGAAATAGAGGGAACGCTCCATTTGCGCTACATGATGTGGGTGGGTTAGGCTTTCTGTCAGGACCTGCTTGGTTTACCAGTGCAAACCCTGAGCATATGTAAATGAAGTCTAGAGCAGTAATTCTCAAACATCAGCACACATCAGAATCGCCTGGAGGGCCTGTTAAAACACAGATATCTGGGCCCCACTCCCCGAATTCCTGAGCCAGTAGGTCTGGGTGGATTCTGAGAATTTGCATTTCAAACATGTCCCCAGGTGATGCTGCTGATCCTGGGACCACAGTGTAAGGCCCACTGGACTAGAGGAATGTTCTCTGTGTTTGGGGGTGGGCTTGAGTAGATGGAGGTATTTATCATTGTGTTCCTTTGTCTCCCACTCTAAAGCCATGCCTGAAATGCCCATGCGTGAGCATGATGGTCCTTCAGAGGGAAGCATGGAGTCCCCAACTCTGTGTTACTTGAAACACACATTGTGTCAGGTGACAGAGTTCAGGATGACATTCCAGTGCTCAAGGTCATTGTGTCCTGTAGGCGGGAGGAATAGCCAGGAACAGAAAGAACAAATAGGAGAAAGGCAGCGCTGGTAAGAACTCCTTTTTGAGCCTGGGTTTGCACACAGGAACTGGAGATTTTCGGTTCCATCGGGCTTTTACTAAAGCTGGGATCTTGCTGAGACGTGCTCATGAGGCACACGTTCCTTATAACTTGCTCATCTCATTGTCATCACATTTTTCTCTTTGTTGTGTTTTATGTCTTTTGCTTTGAATTCCTCTGTTTGAAATAAAATAACAAAGAAAATGGTATAGATAAGAAGCCTGTTCTGTGTAACTGTGCACATTCTTGTAGTCCAGTGGTGCTTTGATCTTACTTTTTGCGTTTCTAATGTTCTTTACAGAAATTCCAAGTGAAATATAATAAGAACAAACCGCAGACCATCCTTGGAAGTAAGTGATGTGGAAAACGGCAAGAACTTTTTTCAGTTTCATACATACACACATTTTTTCCAATGTAAAATACCCCATCCTTTTGTGCTCTCATTTGCCCAGTTATTCCTTCTTTCATAGCATATGCTGGGTGTAATTGGCATAATTTTTAGTTACACAAAGAAGTCAAGAATGTCATAAACTCTGGCAGACTACTAGCCTTTGCGCTACACGTACTATATGATCTTTATATTAGGGAAGGCTGAATGGAGGAGGTATTATGATGTTGCCTCAATTTTAAGATGCGAACTAGTGTAATATGCACTGCACTATTGATAACAGCCTTTTGGGGGAAAAGAGAAACACTACATTAAATGTACATCATTTTATGATTTCCTAGCAGTGGCACATATTTATCTTGACCAATACGTACCATATGCTTCTTAAGAATCACAAGGTTAGGAAAAAGTCTTCAAGTTGAGAATCTATAGATTCTTATCAGTCTCTGTTGCTCCTTATCAGAGCAAGCTGATACTTTTTAGTAGCCGTGCCTGAGGCTGTGATCTCATCAGCTGCATTAGGATGGCAGTTGAAATTTCAGGGCATACCTGAGTTTTGTTTGCATATGCTTAAACTCAGTGGTTCTCTTTCTCTTGAATTAATACACTGTTGAAATTTAAACAATTTCTCTTAGATAATTGGCGGTCCATGACAGTCTTTACATTTCTTGCAAAGATCAGTCACACGACTGTCCTCCTGAGTGAAAATCCTTTGACTTGATGTGAGCAATTTTGCAATTTCTTTTGCCTCAAATATTACATAGCTTGCCTTGTGGCAGGCATTTTAAGTTTGTGGTCACTTTTCACTTCAATGGTGCCATAGTGTGACCAGTGTTTTAAAAGCCACTTGAATCGGGGGTCAGTGAAATATGCAAATTAATGGTGATGTGTGACTGTGTGTGATGTTACACAAGGGTAAACTAGTGCAGGCAGTAACAAGTGTGGCATTGTTTACTCCCCTCATTCTTCACCAGAAGTCCTTTTGGCCTCAGTTGGAACGTACTTCTCAATTTCATAAGGGTTAAGCATGAAAATAATTTAAAAGCATCTTAGAATTGATAGAATACCATCTGTTCCTCCTCGTAACTTAGGAATAACATTAAATCATACATGTGAAGAATCCTTTGTAATATCTTAGGGTTCCATATAAGTATTTTTCCCCTTTACTTAAGAAAGGTGTGGGCTTCCCTGGTGGCGCAGTGGTTGAGAGTCCGCCTGCCGACGCAGGGGACGCGGGTTCGTGCCCCGGTCCGGGAGGATCCCACGTGCCGCGGAGCGGCTGGGCCCGTGAGCCATGGCCACTGAGCCTGCGCGTCCGGAGCCTGTTGCTCCGCAACGGGAGAGGCCACAACAGTGGGAGGCCCGCGTACCGCTAAAAAAAAAGAAAAGAAAAGAAAAGAAAAGAAAAGAAAGGTGTGCGCCAAGCACATAATATTATAGGATTGAAATATTTTCGGAGAGTCACTTCTTAATACACATCAAATGTAAATGCGTGGAGGCCCATAACATTTCAAACGGACCAGAAAGGTACTGAGGCATCATTTCATTTTCCGTATGTGAGAGAGAACAGCCCAGCTTGGCTTGAAGGTTTCATCTGCCTGACATTCTTATACCATAAAGAACAGCACTGTTCCCATCTGTTTACATGATCTGTGTGTGTGTGTGCTTGTTTATACACACAGTGTACGTTCTAGTAATAGTGCTAATAACACCTTGTATCTAATTAAAGCTGGCTCTAGGGAGTACACGCAGTGATTTATGGGCAAGCAGTCCCAGCGTTTCCCCATTCCATTTTCTTGTCTGTTTGTGTAATTCCAGCCACCCACAGTCTCCAAGTGGATATGCTGAAGCAGGCCTGCAGCCTGGGTACCAGGAGGGTGTGAACTGGAAGGGACATTTGAAGCAGGTGTTGGGATGTGGCAGGGAGACTAGTTTCAAGTCTGGGCTTGTGACACGTTAGAAGTGGCCATTGGAGTGTTCAGCTTTCTGGCTTTTAGGAGACCATCTTTACTCGTTGGGATTACTGCCCGCCTTGGAAACCTCATGAAGCATCCATTCTGATTTCCAGATTCTTCATTTAGAGACGTCCCACCGCCTGGGCTCTCCTTGCACCCTTCCTCCTCCATGCCTATTGGGTTGCCGACCGGGAGGAAGGAAGCAGCAGGGCAAGTCCATCCATTGTCCAGAAGCGTTCCAGGCATCACCTTGGAAAGGTAAGGCTCAGTGTGGTCTTACACCTTGACGTCTCAGAGCTGCTGCCGGGGGCTGACTTTTCTCCCTGTGCTTCCAGCTTCAGGAAGTCAGGGGCATCCTTGGAGTCCGAAAGTGACGGGAGCACCTGGAGAAGCAGGTCTCAGTCTGATGAGCTGTTCCAGCCCATGGGCTCACCTCCCTCCACGGACTCCTTCTTAATGGAAGGTGAGGAGAAGACGCCTTTGCATTTACTTGGGTTTCTGTGAGCATTTGCCTAAAGGAATGTTTTCTGAAGGATGTAAGATGGAAACGTTTTCTTTTATTCTTTTCAAAAGAATTCTGTTTCATGGTGTCACTTAGCTACAGGTTCTTCTTCTTTTTTTTTTTTTTAACATCTTTATTGGGGTATAATTGCTTTACAATGGTGTGTTAGTTTCTGCTTTATAACAGAGTGAGTCAGTTATACATATACATATGTTCCCATATCTCTTCCCTCTTTGTCTCCCTCCCTCCCACCCTCCCTATCCCACCCCTCCAGACAGCCACAAAGAACCGAGCCGGTTTCCCTGTGCCATGCGGCTGCTTCCCACTGGCTATCTACCTTACGTTTGTTAGTATATATATGTCCATGTCTCTCTCTCGCCCTAACACACCTCACCCTTCCCCCTCCCCATATCCTCAAGTCTGTTCTCCAGTAGGTCTCTGTCTTTATTCCTGTTTTACCCCTAGGTTCTTCATAACATTTTTTTTTTTTAAATTCCATATATATGTGTTAGCATACGGTATTTGTCCTTCTCTTTCTGACTTACTTCACTCCGTATGACAGACTCTAGATCTATCCACCTCATTACAAATAGCTCAATTTCGTTTCTTTTTATGGCTGAGTAATATTCCATTGTATATATGTGCCACATCTTCTTTATCCATTCATCCGACGGCGGGCACTTAGGTTGTTTCCATCTCCGGGCTATTGTAAATAGAGCTGCAATGAACATTTTGGTACATGACTCTTTCTGAATTCTGGTTTCCTCAGGGTATATACCTAGTAGTGGGATTGCTGGGTCATATGGTAGTTCTATTTGTAGTTTTTTAAGGAACCTCCATACTGTTCTCCATAGTGGCTGAACCAATTCACATTCCCACCAGCAGTGCAAGAGTGTTCCCTTTTCTCCACACCCTCTCCAGCATTTATTGTTTCTAGATTTTTTGATGATGGCCATTCTGACTGGTGTGAGATGATATCTCATTGTAGTTTTGATTTGCATTTCTCTAATGATTAATGATGTTGAGCATTCTTTCATGTGTTTGTTGGCAGTCTGTATATCTTCTTTGGAGAAATGTCTATTTAGGTCTTCTGCCCATTTTTGGATTGGGTTGTTTATTTTTTTGTTATTGAGCTGCATGAGCTGCCTGTAAATTTTAGAGATTAATCCTTTGTCAGTTGATTCATTTGCAAATATTTTCTCCCATTCTGAGGGCTGTCTTTTGGTCTTGTTTATGGTTTCCTTTGCTGTGCAAAAGCTTTGAAGTTTCATTAGGTCCCATTTGTTTATTTTTGTTTTTATCTCCATTACTCTAGGAGATGGGTCAAGAAGGATCTTGCTGTGATTTATGTCATAGAGTGTTCTGCCTATGTTTTCCTCTAAGAGTTTGATAGTTTCTGGCCTTACATTTAGGTCTTTAATCCATTTTGAGCTTATTTTTGTGTATGGTGTTAGGGAGTGATCTAATCTCATACTTTTACATGTACCTATCCAATTTTCCCAGCACCACTTATTGAAGAGGCTGTCCTTTCTCCACTGTATATTCCTGCCACCTTTATCAAAGATAAGGTGACCATATGTGCATGGGTTTATCTCTGGGCTTTCTATCCTATTCCATTGATCTATCTTTCTGTTTTTGTGCCAGTACCATACTGTCTTGATTACTGTAGCTTTGTAGTATAGTCTGAAGTCAGGCAGCCTGATTCCTCCAGCTCCATTTTTTGTTCTCAAGATTGCTTTGGCTATTCGGGGTCTTTTGTGTTTCCATACAAATTGTGAAATTTTTTGTTCTAGTTCTGTGAAAAATGCCAGTGGTAGTTTGATAGGGATTGCATTGAATCTATAGATTGCTTTGGGAAGTAGAGTCATTTTCACAATGTTGATTCTTCCAATCCAAGAACATGGTATATCTCTCCATCTGTTTGTATCATCTTTAATTTCTTTCATCAGTGTCTTATAATTTTCTGCATACAGGTCTTTTGTCTCCTTAGGTAGGTTTATTCCTAGATATTTTATTCTTTTTGTTGCAATGGTAAATGGGAGTGTTTTCTTGATTTCACTTTCAGATTTTTCATCATTAGTATATAGGAATGCCAGAGATTTCTGTGCATTAATTTTGTATCCTGCTACTTTACCAAATTCATTGATTAGCTCTAGTAGTTTTCTGGTAGCATCTTTAGGATTCTCTATGTATAGTATCATGTCATCTGCAAACAGTGACAGCTTTACTTCTTCTTTTCCGATTTGGATTCCTTTTATTTCCTTTTCTTCTCTGATTGCTGTGGCTAAAACTTCCAAAACTATGTTGAATAAGAGTGGTGAGAGTGGGCAACCTTGTCTTGTTCCTGACCTTAGTGGAAATGCTTTCAGTTTTTCGCCATTGAGGATGATGTTGGCTGTGGGCTTGTCATATACGGCCTTTATTATATTGAGGAAAGTTCCCTCTACACCTACTTTCTGCAGGGTTTTTATCATAAATGGGTGTTGAATTTTGTCAAAAGCTTTCTCTGCATCTATTGAGATGATCATATGGTTTTTCTCCTTCAATTTGTTAATATGGTTAATCACATTGATAGATTTGCGTATATTGAAGAATCCTTGCATTCCTGGAATAAACCCCACTTGATCATGGTGTATGATCCTTTTAATGTGCTGTTGGATTCTGTTTGCTAGTATTTTGTTGAGGATTTTTGCATCTATGTTCATCAGTGATATTGGCCTGTAGTTTTCTTTCTTTGTGACATCCTTGTCTGGTTTTGGTATCAAGGTGATGGTGGCCTCGTAGAATGAGTTTGGGAGTGTTCCTCCCTCTGCTATATTTTGGAAGAGTTTGAGAAGAATAGGTGTTAGCTCTTCTCTAAATGTTTGATAGAATTCGCCTGTGAAGCCATCTGGTCCTGGGCTTTTGTTTGTTGGAAGATTTTTAATCACAGTTTCAATTTCAGTGTTTGTGATTGGTCTGTTCATATTTTCTATTTCTTCCTGATTCAGTCTTGGCAGTTTGTGCATTTCTAAGAATTTGTCCATTTCTTCCAGATTGTCCATTTTATTGGCATAGAGTTGCTTGTAGTAATCCCTCATGATTTTTTGTATTTCTGCAGTGTCAGTTGTTACTTCTCCTTTTTCATTTCTGATTCTATTGATTTGAGTCTTCTCCCTTATTTTCTTGATGAGTCTGGCTAATGGTTTATCAATTTTGTTAATCTTCTCAAAGAACCAGCTTTTAGTTTTATTGATCTTTGCTATTGTTTCCTTCATTTCTTTTTCATTTATTTCTGATCTGATTTTTATGATTTCTTTCCTTCTGCTAACTCTGGGGTTTTTTTGTTCTTCTTTCTCTAATTGCTTGAGGTGCAAGGTTAGGTTGTTTATTCGAGATGTTTCCTGCTTCTTAAGGTGGGCTTGTATTGCTATAAACTTCCCTCTTAGAACTGCTTTTGCTGCATCCCATAGGTTTTGGGTCGTTGTATCTCCATTGTCATTTGTTTCTAGGTATTTTTTAATTTCCTCTTTGATTTCTTCAGTGATCACTTCGTTACTAAGTAGTGTATTGTTTAGCCTCCATGTGTTTGTATTTTTTACTGCTCTTTTCCTATAATTGATATCTAATCTCATGGCGTTGTGGTCGGAAAAGATACTTGATATAATTTCAATTTTCTTAAATTTACCAAGGCTTGATTTGTGACCCAAGATATGATCTATCCTGGAGAATGTTCCATGAGCACTTGAGAAAAATGTGTATTCTGTTGTTTTTGGATGGAGTGTCCTATAAATATCAATTAAGTCCATCCTGTTTAATGTATCATTTAAAGCTTGTGTTTCCTTATTTATTTTCATTTTGGATGATCTGTCCATTGGTGAAAGTGGGGTGTTGAAGTCCCCTACTATGAATGTGTTACTGTCGATTTCCCCTTTTATGGCTGCTAGTTTTTGCCTTATGTATTGAGGTGCTCCTATGTTGGGTGCATAAATATTTACAATTGTTATATCTTCTTCTTGGATCGATCCCTTAATCATTATGTAGTGTCCTTCTTTGTCTCTTCTGATAGTCCTTATTTTAAAGTCTATTTTGTCTGATATGAGAATTGCTACTCCAGCTTTCTTTTGGTTTCCATTTGCATGGAATATCTTTTTCCATCCCCTTACTTTCAGTCTGTATGTGTCTCTAGGTCTGAAGTGGGTCTCTTGTAGACAGCATATATATGGGTCTTGTTTTTGTATCCATTCAGCCAATCTGTGTCTTTTGGTGGGAGCATTTAGTCCATTTACATTTAAGGTAATTATCGATATGTATGTTCCTATTCCCATTTTCTAAATTGTTTTGGGTTCGTTATTATAGGACTTTTCCTTCTCTTGTGTTTTTGTCTAGAGAAGTTCCTTTAGCATTTGTTGTAAAGCTGGTTTGGTGGTGCTGAACTCTCTCAGCTTTTGCTTGTCTGTAAAGGTTTTAATTTCTCCATCAAATCTGAATGAGATCCTTGCTGGGTAGAGTAATCTTGGTTGCAGGTTTTTCTCCTTCATCACTTTCAGTATGTCCTGCCACTCCCTTCTGGCTTGTAGAGTTTCTGCTGAGAGATCAGCTGTTAACCTTATGGGGATTCCCTTGTGTGTTATTTGTTGTTTTTCCCTTGCTGCTTTTAATATGCTTTCTTTGTATTTAGTTTTTGACAGTTTGATTAATATGTGTCTTGGCGTATTTCTCCTTGAATTTATCCTGTATGGGACTCTCTGTGCTTCCTGGACTTGATTAACGATTTCCTTTCCCATATTAGGGAAGTTTTCAACTATAATCTCTTCAAATATTTTCTCAGTCCCTTTCTTTTTCTCTTCTTCTTCTGGAACCCCTATAATTCGAATGTTGGTGCGTTTAATGTTGTCCCAGAGGTCTCTGAGACTGTCCTCAGTTCTTTTCATTCTTTTTTCTTTATTCTGCTCTGCAGTAGTTATTTCCACTATTTTATC